ATGAAGAAGTGATTGAACAACAAAATACAGCTGCTATAAACTAATTATAATCAAATGACCCTAAAATATTTTCAAAAATAAAGCTTCAGCAAAAATACAGCACTTACAGACAAATATCTCTACGTTTAAATCAGCCCCAGACATTATCTGCTCTTTAATTTAATTACAAAACATTAAACCCATTTGACTTTATTACATTTGCCATGTTTACTGTTGGTTACTAGGCTACCAATACCACAACAAGACGCTTTACAACTACAATCACAACTTAATGGAAATGCACTGAATTTCCATTTAGGCTTTTTCTTTTTTAGGATTTAGGATTTTTTGATCTTTCAAGATAATTTTAGCCAAAATGGTTTAAAAATGTAAACACAATCCCTAGTAATATGATTGGTTGCTTTATCAGATTGACCAATATCTGACTCTTACACCAAACTGATGCAGTGTGATCAGACTGATGTGATATTGACACATTGTGTCAATGTACAAGCAAACATACAGTATTAGATCCAGTTTGCCATTAAATTTGTTGATGTATTGTTTTTGTGCTGGCATGGTTTTAGTTGAATCTGTTAAAAAACATGACCTGACATGACTTGAAGAAAATAGAAAATAATTCGGCTAGACATGGATCTTTATAATTCTTAAAATTTTAGACCAGAAGGTGGCACTACCTCAAACCTCAGTACCTTCACGACATGGTGCTGAAAATAAATAATGGATTTTGTAGTTTTATTTTATTAAATTTTTTATTTTATTTTATTTTTCATATCTACTAACCAGTAGGTGGCACTGTGCAGGAACTGAGCAGGTAACGTCAGGTCTTTGTCTGCATTTGAAATAACGAACCCAAAAAATACATTTATGTGGACTAATGCTGCAAACTTTCAACAAACTTAGCATCTTTCGTTTTTGCGTATATATAAATCCCTTGAAGTTCATAATGAAATGTTAGTATTGATGTCTTTTTATATGCTAAGTCAACACACAGAAATACAAGAGAGCTTGGCATTCATGTCAATTAAAACTGACTGAAATAGCTCACCACAAACTTGTGCTTTCATTTAGAGACCATTTTCTTCTAAAAACTCTCTGTGTACTTCCTTCACTTTGTAATTGTACAAGCATTTGATTTTTTATGGAGCCAAGAAAGAAACTTAGATTTTGAGAAGACAGCAGTGCGTGTGTGTCTGTGTGCGTGTGCATACTGTGGATTGGCACAATGCCATCCCTTCTCCCTCTGTCTATATCCTCACCATCTCTGACTCTAATTCATTTTGCTTGGCACGTCCCGCCTGAAGCGCCTCATCCCCGCAGTGGCAGATCAGAGCTGCATTCTCCCCTTGTTATTCAATCTTTCCACCGGTCCGTGGCTGTCCCGGTGGTAAATGCCGTGCTGCTTCAGCCCTGCTGACGGATAACCCTTTAAAATCCTTACCCGTTCCGCATTCCAGCAAAATTAGTAGCTACTTTAGAGGTATTTGCCGCTTTACTCTCCTTCCAGGTCTGAAAAACACAGGGCAGTCTGCCAGCTACACACAAAGCTGTTCACTCTCAGTACACAACAAATCTTTGCAGGCTTTTACTGAAAGTCATTGATACTTTATTCGTTTGTTTGGGTGAAGTTAAACTTTACAAGCCCTAAAGTGATTTGCTGTCAGATTTGGGATCCAAATGATCCATTAAATACATCCATTAAATTTACATGAAATAAATTTGACGTCTGTTGTTTGTTCAGACTACTTATTTAAAATGAGCTGAAACAGCACAATTCTTGAGTTTGTTTTAAGACCAGTGAATTGACTTATGTTTAATACTTCAATTGGTAACAAATAAGTTAACTTGATTTCTTTATGTTGTCCCAACACAAATCAATTGTGTGAAACCCAGCATTTTTACAGTGTAGATAATCTGGGACCTCTTTTCTTTTAAAATTGCAGTACAAGCAAGCATCGCTTGGCATTTAAAATTGGATAAAATACGAATTTCTACACTCATCGGCTACTTTATTAGGTACACCTTACTTGTATTGGCTTGGACCCCCTTTTACCTTCAGAACTGCCTTAATCCTTTGTGGCATAGATTCAACAAGGTACTGGAAATATTCCTCAGAGATTTTGCTCCATATTGACAGTTGCTGCAGATTTGTCAGCTGCACATCCATGATGCCAATGTCCCGTTCCACCTCATCCCAAAGGTGCTCTATTGGATTGAGCTCTGGTGACTGTGGAGGCCATTTGAGTACAGTGAATTCATTGTCATGTTCAAGAAACCAGTTTGAGATGATTCGCACTTTATGACATAACGCGTTATCCTGCTGGAAATAGCCATCAGAAGATGAGTACACCGTGGTCGTAAAGGGATGGACATGGTCAGCAGTAATACTCAGGTAGGCTGTGGCGTTGACAAAGTGTTCAATTGATACTAGTGGACCCTATGTGTGCCAAGAAAATATCCCCCACACCACCACCACCACCACCAATCTGAATCGTTGATACAAGGCGGGATGGATGCAATCTTTCATGTTGTTCACGCCAAATTCTGACCCTAGCATCCAAATGTCGCAGCTGAAATTGAGACTCAGTAAAATCCCAGTAGATCAGCAGTTTCTGAAATACTCAGACCAGCTCATCTGGCACCAACAACTATTCAAAACTGCAGCAGATCGTCTTGACGTCTACATGTCTAAATGCATTGAGTTGCTGCCATGTGATTGGCTACTTAGAAATTTGCATTAACAAGTAGTTGTACAGGTGAACCTATTAAAGTGCCTGGTGAGTGTAGATACGCTGCACAGTAAAATAATTAGATTAATACTTATTGTGCATGTTGTAAATATTTTATTATTAAATGTTACTATTATAATTTGTTTGTTTGATCAACTGCATAAAAATACAGCAACAAACATTTCTACCTTGAAAGTTTTGTCTTGTTTCTAGTCCAAATATCAAAACATTCCTTAATGAAGAAGCATTTTCTGACATGTAATAATTTTTTACTTTATTTTATGTGTTTGTCATCAAATCAAGCAAAATAAGCAGAAAAACAAGCAGAGTACTTAGCTAGCTTCAAAGAGAAACTCACTTAATTTTGACTTTTTTCTGAAAACAAAATGCTTTTTTCACTTGTCTAGAAAATGCTTCTTGGTTTAAGAATTTTTTAGTTATTTGGACTAAAAAACAAGACAGAAACTTTAAGTCAGAATAACAGTGGATGTATAAAGCATGCATTTTTGCACTTTAAATCAAAGACCCCTTGTGAAAACAAAAATCTTACAAGATTATTACAAGTTAATGGCAAAATGAATATTTATAAACAGGGCTTGATGTTAACTGTTTTGATCACCAGCCACTGTGGCTGGTAGTTTTCCAAATTTAATAGCCACTTACCACTTTCACTAGCCACAATTCTGTTATTGGGAAAATATATTTCATATGCATAAAATTTGACTTTGGGATGCTAAACTGACTTGATTTAGATTCTGTGTTATTTCCACATCCTTCTTCATTCATTTGACTTTTTTTGTGTTGTGTGTGACCTTGCTTAATGAGCATGAGCAAATGGGTTGTGATTTCATTGTGTCACATTTCAATTAGCTTTTATTTCACTTGACTTTTCAGGGCTCAACACTTAGGATTTACCTATTTATTTTCTAGCCAGACCAAAAAATAAATAAATAAGCAAATACAAATATCTTAGCCCAAAATAACTCTAAGCAAAAGAAAGCAGGTGAAAGACATACTGTATGCGATTATGAAAGGATGATCACATAAAAGGTTATAAACGAAAGCGAACTGCTGCTTACAAAAAGACCTTTAAAAATCTGGAGCACTTGAAAGTACTGTGTGTGCGCGAACTTCGCTTTTTGTACAGTCTATATAAAAGAGAACCGATCACACCTGTTACATTAGAAGGGACAGTTGCTTTGCGCTAGGAATCTTTTTTTTTTTCAAACTTTTAAACATTCACACGCATCACATGAGTTGAAATCGTCCTTGACACTAAAGCCCTCTTCAGTGCATCAGGATCGCCCGTGTCTCACCTTGCGTGTGATCATCCTTTCATTTGGCATTCACCTGCTTACTTTTGCTCATGCTAACACAGTTATTATTGTCATCTCACGCTGGCCCCTCATTGGGCAATCCTTATTGTTGAACACTGCTTTTCAAGAAAACTACAATTTAAAAATTATTTTCAACCAGCTAAAGTGGCTAGACTGTCCAACCCGCCCCAGCTGAAATCTACTCGCATTTGGAGTATTGGCGAGTGTTAATGTCAAGCCCTGTTTCTAAATATTATGGAATATCTGTAAACTGATATTTACTAACACATACCTGTACAGCAAAATGTAGAAATAGTTTAAAAAAAAGCTTTTTTAGCTAGTGGAAAGAAAACAACAACAAAAAACTATATATTATATTATATCTATACTGTATATTATATACAGTTGAAACCAGAAGTTTACATACACTCTAAAGAAAGGAACATAACCATTTTTTTTTAAATGTCTGACGGTAAATCATACTAAACGTTTACTGTTTTAGGTCTGTTAGGATTACCTAAATCATTTACATTTGCTAAATGCCGGAATAATGAGAATTTTTTTTTTTTTTTATTAATTTCTAGACAGTCAAAAGTTTTCATACATTTCCTTGGTAATTTTTAGCTTTGCTTTTAAACTGTATAACTTTGGTCAAATGTTTTGGGTATCCTTCCACAAGCTTCTCACAATAATTTGAAGGAATTTTGGCCCATTCCTCCTGACAGAATTGGTGTCACTGAGTCAGATTTGTTGGCTGTCTTGCTCACACAAGCTTTTTTTTAAACTCTGCCCACAAATTTTCTACAGGATTGAGATCAGGGCTTTGTGATACCCACCCCCAAACATTCCCTCTGTTATCCTTAAAGCACATTTTAACTCATTTGGCAATATGCTTAGAGTCATGGTCTGTTTGGAAGACCCATTTGTGGCCAAGTTTTAATTTCCTGGCTGATGTCTTGAGATGTTGCTTCAGTATTTCTACATAATGTTCTTTATTCATGATGCCATCTATGCTGTGAAGTGGACCAGTACCTCCTGCAGCAAAACAGCCACACAACATGATGCTGCCGCCCCATACTTTACAGTTGGGATGGTGATCCTAGGCTTGTGAGCTTTCCCCTTTGTCCTCCAAATGTAACACTGGTCATTATGGCCAAACTGTTCAATCTTAGTTCAGACCACAGGGCATGTCTCCAAAAATTATTTTTTTCCCCAGTGTAATTTTACAAATTGTAATCTGGATTTTTTTTTTTCATTCTGGCTTGTTGATTTGTCACAAAAGAAAGCAGTTAGTTGGAGGTGTTTCTGGAAGTGTTGTCAATTAGCCAATCAGAAACTTCCAAGCATCATCTGAGATTATTCAGAGGCATAATAATCTTATTGTATGTGAACTTATATATATTAACAAAAAGTCAAGAAAACTAATATTTTTGTTGCTTTACCTTTAATAAGTTAATCGGGTTTCAAAGTTTAACTTAATATTTTAAGTCAGTTTGATTGATGTACGTTGGAATGACTAGAAAAGTTTTTTTGATTTAACTAAAAAAAAGGCAGTAAGAATTTGTGACGTCTTAATAAAATCAGATAAAATACGAGGGTGGCTCAGTCCGTAGCACTGTCACCTAACCACAAAAGGTTGCTGGTTTGAGTCCCTGCTACATGAAAGCATTAAACTATTTTATTTTATTATTTTTTTGAACTCTCAATAGTGAGGACTACAAATCCCATTTTCCCAACCGAAATCTGATGGCGTACTCCACACACCCTCTGCTGGTGCAGCCATGTCATTACGCCGGAGACGCGGAGTGGGTGAGCGACACAGAGACCTCCACATTGTGGGATGATGACAGCGTTCGCACTGACTGGAGAGGCTCACATAAGACTCTGAAGGGCTCACAGCCACCCCCCGGCCTGCAGAGCGCCACCTACAAGGATGAGCTGTGAACCACAGCCACTAAGAACACAGCAATGGGCATTTTATTGGTGGATGAGGGACAATGATACTCATTATGGACATCTCAAAACTGTGGACCGGGAACCTTAGTAGGACAAGCTCACTTTAAAACAACAACAAAACAATCAATATTTAAATCTTGTTTTCAAAGAAAAATATCCCAAAATTTCTCATGAATTGAATTTTTATTTGCATAAATTTAGATATTTAAATGAGGGTATGTGAGACCATAAGTTGTGAATTTTGGTTTGGTTTGGTTTTCTAACTTCATTGATCTGTTTTAAAGCATACACTCCATTCTGAAAAAAATTGGGTCAAAAATGGACAAACCCAACCCTTTTGTTAAAATTTTAATTTATTAAATAATATTTAACATAACATATTTTACCAAATGAAACAAGCCAGTATTTTTAGATAGTAGGTCTACCAAAAGTATGTTAATGGCACAAAAAAGTAAATAATGTAATTTCTCAAAAAGTCGAATTAAAGTTTAAAGAAAATAAGCTTTCAGAAGATTTTCAAACTATATTTTAATAGAGAAGAAGATCCTGTAAGATCCTATAAATGCAATATTTTTGGTTTATTAAACAGTATAGTGAAGAGAAAGCTTTTCAATTGGTCCTATGGTGCAAATTAAGTTAGCTTTGCAGTTTTGATTAAGATATTTGTTTTTTATTAACTACTAAAACTAAAGCATCTGACAGTTTTTATGGTAGTGGTGCAGTTTTGTCATTTTTAATAAGATTTTAAATAACTTATAAGGACTATCATGCTCAGACAATCAAACAGTTTAGTGTATATTTGAAATGGTACATGTGGTGAATTTCTTTCTGTTTGGTGCATTTTTGCTGTTCGTATAGATTTTTCTCTTCTTATAATTATCATTTGTTCTTATTTATTTCTCTTCCATGTCTTACGTCTTTCTGTGACTCCCTGAAGTGAACAGCAGGACCAAATGAAATGATTACAAACGGGTGCATGACATTTTTGTTAACATTTTTTGAAATAAAAAAGTTGAATGTCACTTCTGCATGCTTTTGAAATACAATGTTTGATCTTCACAGCCACCTTTTTGCAGTTATGGTGGTGGGAAGAAAAAATAATTCACATCAATTCCTTCAAACATTCATTCATAATATGAACAATTATATTATGGTATTAGTAATGATAGCCTGCTTCAGAATATATGTAACTCAAGAAATATGCTTAAAAATGGCTCTTTTAGTTCAAGATAACTTCAAATAAAACTAAGACTTTGAAATTTATGACACATAATAGACCTAAATGATATAATTAGACTTTTGAGTTTAAGTTATTTAAAAATATTTAAATTTTTACTTGGTAAAATTATGTTGGACCATCTCAGTTTAATTTAATTGTGATTTTTTTTTCTTCTAGTTGGTGCTAAACAAATTTATTGGAGTTCATCTAGTGAGTTATTTTTTGAGTTTATTGATTGCTGTGGTGGTCAAGGTAAGCAGCTGCTTAGGGCTTCAGAAAATCTAAGGAAGCCCCTAAAATCTTCAGAAACGCCCCCAAAAATACCTAGAATTATACCTATAAATTATATATAACGTTGTTTTATATTGTATTTTGCATGGTGAGGGTCTACTTTTTTCATTTGAATGTAATTATTACATCTGCACAAATGTGTCCCACACCCTCAATCATGGACTAGTCCAGCAGTCAAAATCAGTAAAGATTTATTTTATTATTTTTAGTTGTGAATTAATTTTCAGAAAACAAATCATTTGAAAAGTTTTACAAGAGGCTTTACATGTTATTATTATTTTGCATTAATAAAATAAAATAAAATGTAAATGTATTCTTATAGCAAAATAAATTAAAGTACTAAAGGTGCATTTTAGAACTTTTGGCCACCATGGCTGTAATTTCTTAGGGCCCCCAAATCACTAAATCTGCCCCTGGTGGTGGTAAATACATTACTAGCAAAACCTAAAATTGAGAAATAATCATTTTGTTTAATCAGACTGACTTACTTTAATCAGACTTACTTATAATCTTGGATTTTTTTTTTTAGCTGTCGTGAGTTTTTATTTATTTTTTATTGCATAACAAGGGACAATAGCATACAAAAATGAGGAATACAGTGCTTACAATTTTTTCACATCACAGAAACAAATCAGTAGAAAAAAGTAAATAAAATTACAGCAGGGGATATATAAATTACAAATAATTCACAAGAAAAGAATTCCAAAATTACATACATCCATATAGCTTGTGTGTGTGTGTGTGTGTGTGTGTGTGTGTGTGTGTGTGTCTTTTAGAATTTCGATATAATGCTAAATATCAATTTTAAACAAATGACTATTAGGTTTATTTTTGGACCGTTTGTGTACATGCTACTTCCCATATCTTATCATTAAATTAATAAATAAATATTGCTCCAAAGTTATGTTATTATTATTGTATATAAAAAACATCTTTACAAGAAAACTGAATTTTCAATTTTGTAAGTTTTAATGTAAGATATACAACATCAAACCAAAACATTTGGGTATATGTGCATTCAAAAACAGATGTTTTTCGATTCCTCCTCTAATTCTCAAAAAGTGCACGTAGATTCCATGTCTCAAAATTTTTTTAAACAACTTTCAATGGGTAAATTAAATGTAAATACTTTGTCTTTATTGGTGAAACAGTATTTATTAGGTAGGTTCCAAACTTTTTTCCACTTAAGCTGCTCAAATAAGGAATTCCAAAAGATTTGCATTTAGGCAACAATGCAGTTCTGCATAACTTAACGTTAACATTTATTCAATTTATTGTCTATAATTTTTACACCATTGATACCTACTTAACTGATTAGTATGTAATAGATTGATTCAGGGGATAAATTACCGGATAAGAGCTGAACAAGTCCATTAGGAATTTCATCAAATATTATTGTAAATTCTGTAGCAGTTATGGGTGGAGATCATTTTTCTTCATTTCTGACATTGCAATGTGATGTCCAGACTGATGCGGTTATCACGCCATCTGTTGGTTATAATACAAAATTACAGCACAACATACACAACTTTACCTCTAGAAAATAATTATTTTAAAATAAATAGTTATGTTCTACAGATGTTGAGGCAAGGTTATTGTAAATCTTCATAATACTTTCAAAACATGCATGATTAAAGAAACTCTCTTTAAAAAGCAGATAATGAACTGAGATTGAAAGTTAAATAAAATAAAGGCAAACGCCATTTCATTTTCAAGTTCTAACTAAAACTAATGCAAACTTCTACAAACATTTTAAATGGTCAAGAGTCTGAATGACTTTCCTAACATTATTCACAAGAGAACATTTGACAGTAGTTTCTTTACTATAGGGTCAATACAAAACAAATAAATGTTCAGGAAAAAACTGCTATTGAGTCAATATGTTACAGTATTATTAAGTCATTGTTTTCTTTGATGATTACCATACCATAAATGCAAGTCCAATGAATAAATCATTAAAATATTGGTGCCCCTAATGCACCAAATCCAGCATTGATTTAATAAAAGATTCACATTAAAAGCTGATTTGATTAAAAGGTTTTGACCCAGAATCATTATTTTATGTCACAACATAAGGGGCACATAAAAAAACAACTTTATTTTTTAAGAATTAGGAGCCTTGTGATCACTGCATTAGCATAAAAGCCTATATTTGGCCTCTATAAAAGTAGAGGTTTCCTTCCATAACCCCGCTGAACCCTGTATCTTGGGACACAGCATTGCCTCTAGACTCCGTTATCAAATGACACTCAATCAATGGCTGTGATTAAACACAGAGACAGCATCTTAAATGCCTAATCAGCTGATTTTGATCTGTCTGAGAGTAGTATGTGATATAAACTGTTCAAACCTTAGATCTGCAGTATGGATGGAGTGTAATATGTGAGCTGTAGTGTGGGAGTTGTCACAGATAGGTTTCTCTCATTGCTTCATCCAGTGTGTTGTCATATTTGTTGTCTGGGGTGGAGCTGTCGAAACCTCCTCTGATTGGTTGTCTCAGATAGGGAAGGTTTTGGTCGAATCTTCAAGCACTCATGGATGCTTTCTTTCTGTTTTGCGTATGTAGAAATAGGTCAGCCAATAATGGCCAAAGTTCATGGAAAAGGCTGGTGTTGTTTCTGTTTGAGCAAAGCAATTGAATACAGATCTAAGCCCCAGCATTTACTGCACTAAAAAATAACTATTTATATATTCTATTAATATTATATTATTCTATTAAATCTATTTAACAGAAATTTATAGTTAAGGTAATAAATAATACAACGAAACTGCTAAAAAAGAAAAAGAAAAAAGAAACAAAAATATGCAGAATAAAAATAGAAAGACTAAAACAGTATTTTCTTGTAGAACACACCACAATATTGGTATACAATTAACATGCTGAAAATAAGTAATGACAAGATATGATTTTGAAGCTTCAGCTTATTTAAAAAAATGTTAATAATTTTTTCAGCTTCTTAGTTATACAAGCTTTAACTTGATGTTGAATAATTTGCAAGATTTGATTTCATTTAAAAGATTAAGCCAGCAATTCTGTCAATGACAGAATTAAAAAAAAAAAAAAAAAACGGGACAAATGTTACAAAAAATTGTGGAGCCGAACACTGAACCCTGAGAAACTCCTTTATGCATTATAAACATTGTCACAAATGTATTTGTTTTTGGTCTTGTGATGTTGCAGGGGCCATGGATTTATTGGGAACACTTCAGCTCATTCGTCCATGTCGTCATGCATGTGCTGAGTATATCTGCATCTGCATGTAACAGATGTCTGAGTTCAGTCTTTCTGCTCTAATTGTGATTTGCTCAAAGGAAAAACTTAACAGCTGAGTCTCCACATGACACTGAGCACATTTATTTATTTAGAAAATATTAATAATCTTTAAGATGGGTAGTGGCTGGAAGGGCTTCCACTGCGTAAAACATGTGCTGGATAAGTTGGCGGTTCATTCAGCTGTGGCAACCCCAGATTAATAAAGGGACTAAGCCAGAAAGAAAATGAATTAAGTAATTAAGTAATCTAAAGAGATAATCTACATAATATAATATTTTAATATAAAAATATAATCATATATAATTAATAGAAATAATTTATATTTAATTTATGATGTCTTTGAAAATACCTAGAATCTCTATAAAACATGTAGTAAGCACACACACACACATACACACACATACACACACGTATATATATATATATATATATATATATATATATATATATATATATATATATATATATATATATATATATATATATATATATACATACATACAGATGAAGTCAAAATTTCAGAATTACTAGCCTCCCATTTATTTATTTTTTCCCAATTTCTGTTTAACGGAGAGAAGATTTTTTTCAATACATTTCTAAACATACTAGTTTTAATAACTCATTTCTAATAACTCATTTCTTATCTTTGCCATGTTGACAGTAAATAATAGACAGTATGACAGTAATTTGACTAGATATTTTTCAAGACACTTCTATACAGCTTAAAGTGACATTTAAATGCTTAACTTTTTTAATTAGGTTAACTAGGCAGATTAGGGTAATTAGGCAAGTTATTGTATAATGATGGTTTGTTCTGTCGAATATCTAAAATAAAATTTAGCTTAAAGGGGCTAATAATTTTGACCTTAAAATGTTTTAAAAAAAATTACTGCTTTTATTCTAGCCGAAATAAAACAAATAAGACTTTCTTCAGAAGAAAAAATATTATCAGACATACTGTAAAAATGTTCTTGCTCTGTTAAACATCATTTGATAAAAAAGAAAAAAAGAAAAACAAATTTAAAGGGGGGCTAATAATTCTGACTTCAACTATATTATACATTATATACATTCATTTTTGTCAGCTTAGTCCCTTTATTAATCCGAGGTCGCCACAGCAGAATGAAGCGCCAACTTATCCAGCACGTTTTTCTGCAGCGGATGCCATTCCAGCAGCAACCCATCTCTGGGAAACATCCACACACACACATAGACACTCATACACTACGGGCAATTTAGCCTTCTCAATTCACCTGTACTGCATATCTTTGGACTGTGGGGGAAACCGGAGCACCCGGAGGAAACGCACGCGAACGCAGGGAGAACATGCAAACTCCACAAAGAAATGCCAATTGAGCCGAGGTTCGAACCAGCGACTTTCTTGCTGTTCGGCGACAGTGCTACCTAGTGTGCCTATATATATATATATATATATATATATATATATATATATATATATATATATATATATATATATATATATATATATATATATATAGTATGTAAGTATGTATGTAGGTTAACTAACTGTATGTATATACTCACAATACAATTCATTCCACCTTTAAATTAGAACTACAATTAGACCTCTGTTGGTGGGTGGAGAGTGTACTCTAGGGTTATCATGTCTATTTGGCAGTTTCCAGCCAAAAGATCTCAGCTGCAGGCAACACAACATTTAAGCTGCCTTGTGCACTAAACAGCAGCACCAAGTCTGCAACAGCAAATTCATTTCTTGTGTTTTTTTCCTTTTCTCAAGTGGATATATTCATTTGACAGGTAAGCAATGCATGCATTGTTGGAACTCTGAGAATCTCATAACCTAGCGAGTCGCCTTCTAAGACATTTATTAACAGTGTCCTTTTGAAAATATGCAAAAAGTACAGTTATAACCCACTTTAAACCTTTCACTTAAAAAAAGAATCGTAAATGTAAATTAACCCACTTAAAAAAAAAAGAAAATACTATAGTAGCCTACTTTATATTTAGAGTTTTTGATCCATACTATAGTACAGTACTTATTATGCTGTGGTAATTTTATAGTTTCTGTGGTTAAACAACATTTATAGTATGCTAATATAAATGACCCAATACTGTATTAAGCTTTCTACAACTATATACAATACAGCATATGATGTTGATTACCTGTCGGATCGATACCTCGGTATAATGCTATGCAAATTTGAACGTCATACAATCTACAGTCTGCAATACGTATGAACGTAGAAACCCGACTATGCATGAAACCCCACTAATTCGCGGTGAATTGTTAAGAAATCTTTTTTTTTTTTAATCATGCGATTTGTCTAAATTTCTCTGTAGACACGTCGAAGCACTCTGCTTGGTTTGTTCTGCTCCTTCCGCCGCATCTGCAGTTCTGAAGTTCACCACCACAGCTGTGTTCGTCCTCATGCTCGGTCAGCAAACAGCCATATTTGAGCACCAGCTGCTCTGTTTATGAAAGTAACAACTTACACACTCTTGAGGAAGCAGTTAAAAAGCAGGACTTTCGCTCTTCAAGTAAGTTCAATATGCGAGTGACAGTTTACCACAGAACTACCGACCTGCTTCACACGCTGCTAGTTTTATGGTCGCGTGTATTCTTTTTCAGTGCATTACTTCAGTTTTACAAAACGTGTGAACTATATCTGAAATGTTTGCACGATAGTTTTTTACAGACATGTTATTAGTTTGATGCACTTTAACTGTGTTTGAGTTGCATAACTTGTGAATTGCAATGCTTACAGTATACAAAATATTAGGTTTTGTCACCTTCTGCAAAAACAAGTTGGTCATGTTGATCATTTTCGAAGTGACCAGTTTTGCAGTTAAGTGCAATGCGTATAAAACGTGCATTTAATCCATATTTGCATATACTTTGTAAGAATGCTTAAAATATATATGCATTGTTTTTAAATATAATAAAATGAGAAATTAAAATAAAACATTACGATTTCTCCAGTAAACATGTATCTGTAAAACCTTTATGAAAAAGGTTTTCTGTTTAACAGACTTTTCTTTTGCCATATTTGATTCAAAAGTGATTAGAGTAAGATAAGCTGTCTCACATGATGCTTGTCTGGTGAGCAACTACTTGTGAAAATGATCAATAACAGTAATAATAATAATAATAAAGATACATAGAACATATATATATATATATATATATATATATATATATATATATATATATAGATGCAATTTGTTTAAATTTCAAATATTGAAATAATTTGTTCAAATATGCATGAATGAATTAAAGTCATGGCAGTTTTTTGGTAATAAAGTTTGATATATTTTAAGCAACAAAATAAAATTACAACTGTATATCAACGAATGGTGAATATTAGCGTTAGCAGGGTAATTTTTTTTTACCAAATACACATTTAACAAATGTATCTTATTACTTATTTCTTAAAATCGCTCTCTGTATAACTTCATAGATTTATTCACACACATTTCAATTAAATCTAGTTTGTCAGCTTATTTACACTACTTTTCATTTTTTTATATATTTAAATTTAAAATGTTTATTTTTACAAATATATTTACAAATATATTTACAAATTCAATAATTTAAGTACTTAAACTCAAATTGTAAAATAAAATTTAATTGATTTAAATAAAAATTTTATTTAAATTGTACTTGATATAAATTGCAAGAACTTTCAATTGCAGATTGTTTACATAATATATTAATTTTCACAGTAAAAGATTAGTTTAGTAAGTTGTAAAAAAAAAAAAAAAACTGTAACTGTATATCAGTGGATGTATTATTATATGGTGTATTAGCTTTAAAAAGATTACATTTAACAAACATAAGTGGTCCCAGCATTGAACCTTGAGGAATTGGAAGTGCTATATTGTCCCATATTGTGTGGAAAAAGTAGGAAATAAAAGAGGTCTCAGCCCAGAACTCTGATGGAATCCTTAACAGTTCATGAACATTGTTCGTAAGATTATTTGTTTATGTGATGTTGCAGGGGCCATGGCCTTCTTAGGAACAGCAGCATGGAGGGCGATGGTGTGTCGGCAGCCCCTCTCGCCCCTCTGCCGTGCTACCACCCGCTGCTATAGCTCTCAGTCTACACACACCAAAGAGAAGAGTGTCCCGTATGAGAAGACCCTCAAACATGAGGATGGCCTCAGTGGGCCTACCAAACCCCTTCCCAAGTCTGCAGATGTTGTGGTGATTGGAGGAGGAAGCCTGGGTTGCCAGACCCTCTACCACCTGTGTAAATTAGGCATGACCAATGTGGTTCTCCTGGAGAGGGACAGACTGACTGCTGGCACCACCTGGCACACAGCTGGTATTGCATTATGTTTACTTTGTTGACATCTGTATGTTAACTTCTGAATGATTCAGTAATGTTGTTAACTTCTGAATGTTAACTTTAAATGAACAATGCTCCTGTGCAAAAGCAAAAAGCTGTTACTTAATTTTTGTCTGAAAAAACTTTCAATTTAATTAAATTACCCTTTATTTGTATAGCGATTTTACAATGTAGATTGTGTCAAAGCAGCTTCACATAGAAGGTCATAGTAAACTGTAACAGTGTAGCTCAGTTTCCAAACACTGAAGAGCAAATCCATCGATGCGCAGCTCTCCAGATCCCGAACCATGCAAACCAGTTGTGACAGCGGCGGGGAAAAAAACTTCATCGATTGGCGAAAGTAAAGAATTTAAAATCTTGAGAGAAACCAGGCTTAGTTGGGCACGACCATTTCGCCTATGGCCAAACTTGTGCAAATTTGCAGTCTAGGGGCTGGAGGCTGGTGAACGCTGGACCTCAGCAAAGTCTTGTCTGTCCCTGGAGCGTCACAGGAATCAGTCTCATGCTCTCCACTCCTCCATGACCACCACAGCAGCTGCTCAGGATAAGGCCTAGTCCAGGATTATGGAAACCTTGGGATTATCTCGTCGCTGGTCTTGGACCGAATCAGTGGCGCTGCATTGTCTCTGGGTGGCTTCAGGATGAGTATCCCCAGGTGGAAAAGGAGAATAAAGAGAAAAATTAGCGTAGCTGCTGTCCATAGTGTACATAAACGAGATGCAAAAACTTGCGTGAGGCACATTCATGTTTCATACCGCTAAGTGATGCACTGAGTGTATGCTTTACTAAAAAGATAGGTCTTTAATCTAGTTTTGAACTGTGAGAGTGTGTCTGAGCCTCAGACATTATCAGGAAGGCTGTTCCAGAGTTTAGGAGCCATAAATGAGAAGGCTCGACCTCCTTTACTCGACTTTGCTATTCAAGGTACTACCAGAAGCCCTGAGTTTTGAGATCTTAAAGAGCGAGTTGGATTGTAGTGAGACAGAAGGTTAGTTAGATAAACAGGAGCTAGACTATTTAAAGCTTCATAGGTGAGAAGCAATATTTTAGAATCAATATAAAAACTTAACAGGCAGCCAGTGTAAGGAGGATACAATTGGGGTGATATGATCATATTTTCTAGACCTGGCAAGAACTATGACAGCTGTATTTTAGCATACTTTGTAACTTAGCGATATTTCTCAGATGGAAGAAGGCAGTTTTTGTGACATAGAAATATGATTTTCAATATTTTTTATTAATATTTTTGAGTATCCTATCTGGTTACTATTTGATTAACCTAACCTGGTTTCATTGTTTTTTTTTATTGCCAAATTTCCAGGCTCCTTCCTATGATTATTTTGTCTGGACAACTAAAAATATTTCAAGTCATTTTTCTCAGTTCCACACTCTAGGAACTTTAGGTCTTTTGCCTTTGCAGGGCAAAAGTGTAAGAGAAAATTGAATCTGGGTATTAAATCAGATTTCATTTTCTACTTGTACAGCATTTACTCCATGAATAGGCTGACAGAACTGGTTGCATAAAAGCCAAATCCATGGGCGTTGCAGTTTGTCAGATACAAATGAATTCTTGATAGTCTGTTCAACTTTGTTTTCTTTGTTTTGAATGAGATCTTTTTACCTCATCGCAGGACTTTTGTGGCAGTTAAGACCAAGTGATACTGAGGTAGAGCTGTTGGCTCACACTCGCAATGTGGTCAGCTCAGAGCTGAAGGAGGAGACGGGCCTTGAGACGGGCTGGATCCAAAATGGAGGCCTGTTCATTGCGTCCAACAAGCAGCGATTGGACGAGTACAAGCGACTCATGTCGGTAAGACACAAGTCCTAAAAACACACATACTTTAAAGATATATATATACACAGGATTTTCATTAGCCTTCAAGTTGCTCAAACTAAAAAGCATATTGAAAATATACAAATGCGTCAGAAGTTTTTAGAATTGTATAAGGTGATTTTTTTTTTTATGCAGTCCAACAAAAGGTTTTAAAATTGCAATAAAATAATTTAGTTTTCATTGATTTTTCAGGAACATATAACCAGTGGGAACAAACAAACAAACAAAAAAATGTATATACATACATATATACAAATATACATAAATATTCCACACATGTATATCTACATACAGTTGAATCATTAGCCCCCCTTTGAATTTTTTTATTTTTTTTAAACTTTTTTAAATATTTCCAAAATTGTTTAAAAGAGCAAGGAAATTTTCACAGTATGTCTGATAATATTTTTTCTTCTGGAGAAAGTCTTATTGTTTTATTTTAGCTAGTATAAAATATGTTTTTAATTTTTTAAACGCCATTTTAAGAACAAAATTATAAGCCCCTTTAAGCAAAATTCCCCCCCCCCCCGATGTTTTACAGAACAAACCATCATTATTCAGTAGCTTGCCTAATTACCCTAACCTGGGTAAGTCAAACATTATTTACTGTCATCATGGCAAAGATAAAATAAATCAGTTATAAGAAACATTAAAAAGAAAATAGGTAAAAATAAACAGGGGGGCTAATAATTTTGACTTCAACTGTACATGCATATATGAAAATATTAAATTAACCTAACCAAGAAAATAAATAAAAAAATAAGTATAAAATAAAATTTTATAAAAAGGTTACCAAACATATTCTAACCTCTAGAATTATGTAAATGTTCAATTACAGATTAGATTGTCGTTGTGGAGAAAGCCAGCCATTTACTCCATTTCTTTTCAAAGATCTCTAATTGTAATCAAAGTGCATGAGTCATTTTGTTCCATTTCCTCAACTTCTGCTGTAAATTTGAAACATTCATCTTTAGTTGGTGGGTCTTCTTTATACCATTTCAGGTTTTGGCTTTTTTACCTGTTCCCCAAAATATCTTAAATAGGTATCTATCCTCCTTTTCAAGTTTAATAGAAATATCTTCTAGATAAATTACTTCAAATGATCTGGGAATATGAAGATCCAAAAATATCATTGATGGCGGAGTGCACAGTTTCCCAAAAATTGTTAATTCTTGAGCACTGCCAGAAAACATTTTATGATTTCTTTTTAAAGATGAAGTGATGCATTAGTTGCAAAAAACTGGTTCACTGGGGCTTGTATTATGTTTCAGTCGCATTGGTTATTGGAAATATAGTCATTTCACAATTGCATTATCAAGAAAATCATTGTTTTAAAAGAAACAAATATTTATTATTTCTTTTTTTTTCTCAACATATTTGTGTATAAATTTTTCATAGATTCATTCACACCCATAACTTAATGAAATCCACTTTGCCTCCTATGTTAAATTACACTTTGTGGCCAAAATGAATGCTCAGGCCTGTAGGCAGCGTGGTGAAAGGGGTTGTTCTTTTTTTCTCAAAAAGTGGACCTTTTTGCTGTTATACGCCTCAGTTTTCATTTAACTATGAGATTTAAATACTGCATTTTAGTGACATTTTAAGCAGTAATTTTCTTTTTTTGCTGGATTAGCTAATCAGATGTCATCATAACCACACTTTTTGATTTACTAAAAATATTTCCTAAAAATTTGCAGTAAAGAAAAATTAAAACAAGACTATTTTTTTAAAATACAAATTTATAACATCATATATCATTAGGAAAAAAATAGTAATCTGTTAAAATTTCAAAGTAATAAACCTGTAGCCTACGGTCATTTATTAGACAAAAAACAAACTGGCCAGCACATTCAACTGTTCTCACTTACAAGTTGGCCTTTTAATAAAAAATAATAATTAAAACATAATAATAATAATAATAATAATAATAATAATAATAATAATAATAATAATAATAAAACGACTAAAGTGAGCAAACAGCCTCAAAAACACAGACGTGACGGGATTAGCGCCTTTTGCTGTGAAGTGACATCTGACCGCTGTGGACTCCGCATGCCATTAAAGCCTTCATTGGACAGTTATTTATATAAAAAAAATGAGGGCAAAAATAGGGAAAGGGAGGTCATGTACTGGACAAGTCAATAAATATACATATATAGGATGTTACCACTCAGTTAGTGGGTTATGTCATGTGACTCACGTCACATTATTGTGGCTTTGAGGCTCTATGGGATTCCAATGACTGGCCAGAGTTATTTAGAATTACACTTTATTACTATATATATTAAATATAAATATATAAATTATATAATAAATATTTTATATAATGTTTAATTACATAAAAGAATTTAAAGGACAAATTATGGACCTATTGGCCGTGGGGGGTGGTTTGTTTAAACCACCCGAACACCCCCCAAGGCTACCTGCATGATGCTATTTGCATTAACTGCAAACAGACAAAATGATCACTAAAAATAAGATAAAAAAAAATCTCTACAAGGATGCAAAGGGCATAGTAAATTCAGCAATTGATCTATCAGAATCAAGAATTTAAAAGACTTGTGCATTAACCATGAATGAGTTATGCCTGATTAAATGTATTCTAATGAGTAATTTTGCTTTTCAGCTGGGTAAAGTGTATGGCATTGAGTCACACGTCCTGTCGCCAGCTGAGACCAAAGACCTGTATCCTCTGATGAATGTCAAAGATCTTTATGGCACGCTCTATGTTCCTAAAGATGGCACCATGGACCCAGCGGGCACCTGCACCACCCTCTCCAGAGCAGCCACTGCACGCGGCGCCACTGTATGTTTCCATAGCTTTCACTCTTGACACTGCAGGCAAATATGCTGCATTTTGTGCACATCAGTTTTGGCTTTTCTTTATTTTCAGAGTAATATAAAGAGAACATCCAGAATACACTTTTAAAAAGAGAGTTCACACAAAAAAAAATAGTTCTGTCATCAAAAACATTTTTTTTTTCACTAAGAATTTTTGGAAACCTTCAAACCTTCAAATTTTTTTGATCACCAGCCACTGTGGCTAGTAGTCTTTCAACATTACTGGTCACTCACCATTTTCACAAGCCACAATTTTTTTGTTTGAAAAATATATTTTATATGCATAAATTTGACTTTGGTTTAGATTGATTTAAATTTTGTGTTATGTTCAAATGCCTACTCATTCATTTACTTTTTTGTGTGTTGTGTATGAGCTTACTCAGTGAGCATGAGCAAATGAGTTGTGGTTTCATGGTGTTACATTACAATTAGTTTTTATTTTAGACTTTTCAGGGCTCAACATTAGGGATTTGCCAATTTTTTTCTCTTGCCACACCAAAAATAAATAAACTAATTATTTCTTTGCTACAAATTTTAACAATAAAAATTTTAAACAAACAAAATATAGCTTTATATGTGCAAAAAAACTTTCTTTAAAAAAAGACATTTTAAAAAGAATTATTGTCATGTATCTAAAACTATGCACAGTAATCTGCCAGGTCCCAGATCACCAGTTCACTATCTGTAAATGGAGAACTCAAAAATAAAAATCTTATGGAACTTAACTAGACAGAAGAAGTCCTTGGGTCTGTTCTTTATACGTGGAATACTCAATTAGATTTATTTGGTTATTGACGATTTGACACGATCCAGGATCGTTTCGTTCTTCTAAAATCATCTGAGACTTGTTGTCATTGCAACAGTTCTGGTAGCTCAAACCTGCTTGGAAGCAGGTTCAATTCATATAAACCGGATTAGATCGGGTCAGTTCAAGCAAAGATAATACTAAAAGTATGTTCCGAATGCTTATATTTTCTTAAAGTAGTTATATACACTTGGGAAAATAGGAAATATATATTTTTAACTATACATAAAGTAAAAAAAAAAAAAACAATAAACCTACGCAATCTGCACTCTAAAATAAAAGTACAAATTCTGCCGCGTGGTGGTTCAAAGAGAAAATTTATTGATATGCACTTTTTATATACAAACGCGTACATGCACAATATTCAACTTATTTAAAAAAAGGATAACAATTTATGCAGTCATGCACGTGTTTTGACCGCTAATATACCAGTGATTTGATGCTTCGCAAAAGTTGCTAACACCTTTACCAATATCAAAATGCGTTTTTGATGCTAAGTTAATCTATACAGTTATTCCTTAAGCCGATTAAAAAAACTTGAGTAGGCCTATAGGCTACTATAACCGAAATTTTTTTCTCTTAAAATAGAGCTAAATACGTTGATATGCATTAAAATACATGATTAATACTCTTCTTGACACATGAAGTTGTAAAGCCTGCAGCTCACAACAAATGTGGAAAGTTCTTGCGTGTCATATTTAACAAACCGTTTACTGCTAATATTTTGTAATTTTGCTCACATGGATAATTGAATATCAATCAGATGATGTCATTACGCTGCTGTGCCATCAGCTAATCATTGCATTGCTGATCATGATTTCGAGGATCGATAGATCTGTTTTTTATAACACACACAGCGATCTCATATCAGCTCATCCAGACATTTTATTCTGATTCACAAACTTGTTTGATAAACCAAATTAGCCAAAGATCAGTTATCAAGATGAACAGATCCAGGATCTGCCAAATCATCTTAGATCATTTAAGCAAGGTACGAAGAAAAGACCCCTTGACTCACCCCAATGAATACAAGCAAGAATTCAAACAAATAACAGACAGTCTCCCTCATCATGACATGAACCCATATATACAGATGGATTGAAAACAAACAAAAGAGTAACTGCAGCAATAGTTTTTAAAGATTGTTTTTGTATGATTATGTTTTTGTTTTGTACTCCCTCAATATACATAGCAGAAGCTTATGCAATAAATATGGCTTTAGAACTAATGGAAAGGACACAGTACGGTAACTTCTTAATCTGCACAGATTCCAAACCCTGTCTTCAAGCACTTGAAGCTTCTAAGTGTGATCACCCTATAATTTTCATGATTGTAAAGAAAATGACAACACTGGAAACTAAGAAGTTCAACGTTATCTTTTGTTGGATTTCAGGCCATATGGGACTACCTGGAAATGAACTGGCAGATGAAGCAGCAAAACAGGCCTTGAAATTCAAATCCTTGAAAGTGACAGAATGTTTAATTTTACCTAAAGACTTGAAACCCACAATTAATTTGTACATAAACGAAACATGGCAAAGGGAATGGGACAACTGCATAAATAACAAATTACATGAAATTAACCAAAAAATAAATGAAAGACACTTAGCAAATTATCATTTTGAGACTGGGCATGATCAAACTGTCTATACTAGATGTCGAATTGGACATTCTATCTAGGTTGACTCATTTGTATTTACTCAATAACAAAGACCCACCTAAAAGTAATTACTGGCAGGCTGCGCTCTTACAATCAAAGATATGTTGTTGGAATGTGGAAGTTTGAATACCATTAGACAAAACTTTTTTATTAGAAGAGTACTTTGATGGACATTTTTATAAAGGTACCACCAGAAAGAATATTAAATAATTTATCAAAACTGAAAAATCATATTTAACTTTAAATATATTTTTGTGTGAATTTTATGTAATGTAATATTTTTATATACAGTTAAAAGTCAGAACTATTAGCCCCTCTGTTTATTTTTTCCCCCAATTTCTGTTTAACGGAGAGCAGATTTTTTCAACACATTTCTAAACATAATAGTTTTAATAACTCATTTCTAATAACTGATTTATTTTATCTTTGCCATGATGATGACCGTAAATAATATTTGACTAGATATTTTTCAAGACACTTCTATACAGATTAAAGTGACATTTAGATGCTTAACTATGTTAATTAGGTTAACTTGGCAGGTTAGGGTAATTAGGCAAGTTATTGTATAACGATGGTTTGTTCTGTAGACTATCGAAAAAAAAATATAGCTTAAAGGGGCTAATAATTTTGTCTTTAAAATGGGTTTTAAAAAATTAAAAACTGCCTTTTTTCTTACTGAAATTAAACAAATAAGACTTTCTCCCGAAGAAAAAATATTATCAGACATACCTTGAAAATGTTCTTGCTCTGTTGAACATCATTTGGAAAATATATATAAAAAGAAAAAAAGAATTCAAAGGGGGGCTAATAATTCTGACTTCAACTGTATATCCACTTTGCCATGAAATAGCCATAAGTTGTTGATGTGGCAATAGATAAATATTAAATAAATATCTAAATATACAAATGGAGAGTTAATCTCCAATTAAAGCAATGTTTTTGTAAAGGATGATAAATAAACAATATTTAAAAAAAACTTAACTCAAAAGAAAGCAGGTGAAAAACACACAGTACCTTGTGCAATGGAAGATGATAATCACGTTAAGTTAACTTTAGGCCCATTAATAATCTGTTCCTAGAATGCTGCTGCTTACACGAAAAAAAAAAATAAAAACAGCAGAAAGCAGCAGGACCATGGGTGCACGAACATAACTTTTTTTATCCAATGTATTTCAAAGAGAACCGATGGCATAAGTTGCATTTGCAGGCACGGTTGCTTTGCTTCAGCCGTGCGCGCAATACTAAAGCCCTCATCAGTGAGTGAAGAATGCCTGCATCTCACTGTGCATGTGATCATCCTTTCATTCAGTAATCACCTGCTTTTTCTTACTCGCGCAGTTATTTTGTCAGTCATTTTGCTTCTTGAGAACCACAATCTAAAAATTACTTTCAAACAGCATATAAATATATATATATATATATATATATATATATATATATATATATATATATATATATATATATATATATATATATATATATATATATACTTAATGAAATCAATTAACTGTGGAAGTATGGAAGTATGGTGATCATTTTGTTTATCCTGTTTCACCTGCAGTCTTCAACTATTGGAGGAATGTGATTTAATGTATTGGAAGTCTTGTTTACATTTGAGTGTAAGAATTGTATATTGATACATGGATATTATTATTATTATTATTATTATTATTATTATTATTATTATTATTATTATTATTATTATTGATTACAGGTGATTGAGAACTGTCCAGTAACGGGTATCCAGGTGAAGGTTGATGATTTGGGTGTTAAGAGAGTGAAAGCGGTGCAAACTCCTCATGGCACCATCCGAACACCATGTGTGGTCAATTGTGCAGGTAAGGATGAGGCTGATTTCCCCAGCAGAGGGCAGTGTTTGATCATGAACGAAATTTAACCACATCATCTGTAGAAGCTTACATGCGTTCACAGCTGACATTCAGATCATTAATAAACAGCTAAAAGTTCACAACACATTAAAGGAAAAAATTGAAAATCATTTATTTACAAAATCACGGGTCAGAAAGCTGTATGAGTTTCTTCTGTTGAACACAAAATGTTATTTTGAAAGATGTTGGAAAAGGGTAACCACTGACTTCTATAGTATTTGTTTTTCTTTTGAACGTAAAGGGATAATGCTTTGTAACATTCTTAAAAATGTCATCTTTTGTGTTCAATAGAAAAGCAAAAGCATAAGGGTTTGGAATCACTTCAGCGAGAGTAATCATTTAGTATTTTTTATTACTATATTTTCAGTGAATATCACTTTAAAGACGTGAGACCATCCTGAAATGTATCGAAAATGCTAGTGTTTTATATATGCATGTACATTAATGTCTGTTTCTCTTGATTTATTTAGTATACGTTTGTTTGACTTTTATTTTATTGCTTTAAGGTCTCATTACTTTTGAAATTTCTAATAAAAAACATTATAATTTAGAGCAGTTTAGTCATAATGACAAATGTTTTTATTTGTTGTAGTGGAAAATCATGGTTATTTCAGTAAATATTGATTTCTTAATTATTCTGAAGTTAAACATTGTTATTGTGTTGTCTAAAAAAAGGAAAACTTATCCGTAAACGTTGTTTTCTTTGCTTTGAAATGTTACAAACGATAGAGCTTTTATTTTGAAATGATTTTTGTTGAGTTGACAACAGAATTACGAACCATTCTTATTATAAATCAGAGAATATCTTTCTTAGGTAATGTTTTCATGAACCATAATATAGTGTACTGTATAATAAGCTTCTCCAAGATACTGAAATCACTTAAAATGAACTGTTGATGTGAAAGCATCCAAGTGCATATATTTTTTCAAATGGTCTCTTAATTAAATTATATTTAAAATTGATGTCAATCAAATTTAATCAGCTTTCTTGTTTATTATATTATTACACCATATTATACAGCATTATCCAGTTGTTTACATTTGTGTCTGTGGTTTTTCAGGGGTTTGGGCCACTAAACTGGGTGAGATGGCAGGTGTTAATGTGCCATTGATTGCGATGCACCATGCTTATGTCGTCACAGAGCGAATCGAAGGAATTCAGGTGAGTTTTACAGTCTATGTGAACCGGAAGTTGGTGAGACTGTTATTTCAGCATGTTGATGTACTTCCAACTGAAACTTAATATTGAGTAGGGGTTAGGGCTGGGTCGATGGACGATGGCAACGTCTGTCGCCGATGGCCGATAGAGATCATGATGCATAGCCGTCATCACAATCCTCCACCCCGCCCCCATCTTAGCAGCAACCCGCTTGCAAAAAATACACACTTAGGCCCCGTCTACATTAATACGTGTTAGTTTTAAAATGGCATTATAGAACGAAAAATGATCCTCATCCACACTAGCGTTTCATCTAGCATTTCTGAGAAGCATTTCGTTCCACACTTTACTGCTGAAAACACACATCACTTGACCACACACACACAGGTATGTGCTGCAGCTCCAGCAGTCAGCGGGTGCTTTGAGCACAAAACCAAATAAAATAAAGTAAAATAAAGTTTGGACAAAGGCAAAATGGCCTATCAGGGGAAAAAAAAAACATTGTCACATGATTTAACCCAGGGGTGCCCAAGCTCAGTCATGGAGGACCAGTGTCCTGCATATTTTAGTTTTAATCCCAATTAAACACACCTGAACCAGCCAATCAAGCTCTTTCTAGGTATACTAGAAACATCTAAGCAGGTGTGTTAAAGCAAGTTGGAGCTAAACTATGCAGGACATCGGCCCTCCTGGACTGAGTTTGGACACCCCTGATTTAACTCATCGCTAACATGTTTTAACCTGCTTTCTTTGGCCATATTTTATAACTTTTTTTTTTTTGCTGTAATTAAAGAAATAATATTCATTCATCTTTCTTCAGCTTATTTCTTTTATTCATCGGGGGTCGCCACAGCAGAATTTAATTGTTTCTACATGTGTCTAATATGATTTAACATGCTGTTGACATGATTGAGCAATTCCTGTTAGCCAAGAAAGTTTAAAATAGCTTTAAAGCTTACGCCTGTTTCACACCGCAAGCTTCAGCGGCGCGTGAGCAGAGCGTGCGCAGCGCGTATGTCGAGCAGTAGCAGCACGCAGGCGTTTGCCTTTCACACCAGCTGCGTCTGCAGCGTGCAGCTCTTCGTCAGCTGCTGCTGAGATCAACCTATCTCTTTCTATTCTATCTAGCTACCCATGTCTCTGTATATACAAATACACTTTTTAATATTTTCATCTGCACCAAGGCCCCTCCTTTGCTGTTTCATTAACCTGCAAATGTTTATTTTACTAATTTTATAGATCAAATAGTACTGTATGCTTCTCAAGTTAACATTTATGAGAAGTGTCTACAGTCAGAAGACAATCGCCTATTATATCATGTCATTTGTTTTTTGATTATCAGGTTGCTGTAGACCTAGTTATAATAATATTTATACAATATAGTTATAATGATATTTATACATGATCAAACTAGTGTTACTTTCTCCGCTTCAGTAATGTCCAGCGGCAGAATTACAGCTCGTTAATTCATGCTCGTGGAGATGATGAGATCGACAAAAGTAACCAATGCATGCCATTCTTTTACTTATTTTCGTGTTGTGAGATTCACAGTGCAAACAACAAAAAACTTTCTTCCTCTGCTCAGCTTCTGTTGTGATGAGTCAGAAGGCATTGAATCCATTTGCAAGCTTTATTAAGAGCACACATACAAACAAACACAAAGGGGCAATCCAGGAGACAAAACGTGGGACAGGCAAAAGTTCAAAGGCAGGCAGATATCTTACTGGTCAGAATAACAGGCTGGAGATCGGGGGCAGGCAGATGTCTTTCGTAATCGTAGAACAAGCACAAGGTCAGAAACACAGATCAGTCCGAAGCAGGGAGTATGGAACGCTCAGAAATGACAGCCAGGCAAATCAAGACTTCGCAACGAACCGGAGCGTGAGTGTGGTATATATACACGAGAGCTGATGAGTTGCACCTGGACCGTAATCAGTGCCAGGTAGCAGGGCTTATGGGATTTTGAGTCCGTGAGTCGAATCAGAATTCTGGCGATGGTTCCCTCTGGTGGTGCACAAGAGGGTTGGCATCGCCCTCATTTACAACAGAACCCCCCTCCTGCGAGCGGCTCCTGAAGCGAGAAGGCACCTGACGCCGGGGTCTACCGCGCTGTCGGGGGGCTGGTTTCTCTGGGAACCTTTGATGAAACTCTTCCGTGAGAGTTGGGTCTAGAATATCTCTAGCATTCACCCAGGACCGTTCCTCTGGACCGTACCCTTCCCAGTCCACCAGATATTGGAGGGCGCCACCCCGACGTCGAGAGTCCAGCACTTCTCGAACGAGGTAAGCTTCCTCGCCCTCGATCATGACAGGTGGAGGGGTCCTGGTTTCCGATTCCTCCTCAACCGCCTCCTCTCGTGGACCACCAGCGGGTTTGAGTAATGACATGTGGAAAGTAGGAGAAATACTATAATGATTAGGCTAGGCTAAGCGAAAAGACACTGGAGTAATCTGGCGTACAATTTTGAATGGCCCTACATACCTGGGACTGAGTTTGCGGCAGGGCAATCTCAGACGAAGGTCTCGTGTCGACAACCACACCCACTGCCCCGGTTGATACGTGGGTCCCTGGCGTCGGTGACGGTTCGCCTGAATCTCTCTCCTCCTGACTGCCCTCATGAGATGTCTGTGAGCCTGGTTCCAGACATCCTCACTCCGCTGCAGCCAATCCGTGACAGCAGGTAACTCAGTGGGTTCTCCGGACCATGGAAACAGGGGTGGTTGGTAGCCAAGAATACATTTGAATGGCGTAATACCCGTGGCTGGCTTTATTAATGAATTTTGTGCATATTCTGCCCACATCAGATAGCGACTCCAGTCGTGCTGTTGCTGATGACAGTAGGAACGTAGAAATCGAATGACTTCTTGATTCATACGTTCAGTTTGGCCGTTGGATTGAGGATGGTACCCTGAGGTGAGACTAACATTAATATTTAGATTTTTACAGAGAGCGGACCATACCCGGGAGGTGAATTGGGATCCCCTGTCTGAGACGATATCATCAGGTAAGCCAAACATTCGAAATACATGATTGCACAGGGCTTCTGCGGTTTCAAAGGCAGAGGGCAATTTGGGCAACGGTATTAGGCGACAAGCCTTGGAGAAACGATCAACCACCGTGAGAATGACTGTGTTGTTCTGGGAAACAGGGAGATCCGTAATGAAGTCCACCGCTATATGGGACCAGGGCCGTTGCGGAACCGGTAGCGGTTGTAACAGGCCAGCAGGGGTTTGGTGAGATGCCTTCGTGCTTTGGCAAATTTTACATTTCTGAACATAATTAATTACATCCTTCGTGAGGGACGGCCACCAGAAACGGGCTTTGACTAACTCCAAAGTTGCAGTGATGCCTGGATGCCCCGAACTGGGAGTGTCATGAATATGGGTCAGTAATCTGGTACGTATGTTATTGGGTACAAAAATCAGGTGATTCGGACAGTCTACTGGAGGGTTGTTTTCTCGGTTGGCCTCTTGGATCTCGGTAAGTATGTCCCACTGTACTGGAGCCACTAGTAAGTTCGTAGGAATAATGGTTTCATCACTAATTGGGGTTTTATCCTCTGATAGCCTGGATAGTGCATCTGCCTTACTATTTTTACTCCCTGGTCTATAGGTGACAATGAAGTCGAATCTGGTGAAGAACAAAGCCCAACGAGCTTGTCTGGGATTTAGACGTTTGGCTGAGCGAAGATATTCCAGATTCTTGTGGTCAGTTAATATGGTGAATTGCTGACTAGCCCCCTCCAGCCAGTGTCTCCATTCTTCCAGGGCTAATTTCATTGCCAGTAATTCGCGATTTCCCACATCATAGTTTCGTTCTGCGCTGGTCAATTTACGGGAGAAGAAGGCACATGGATACATTTTGGATGGTTGACCCTGACGTTGAGATAACACAGCACCGACTCCTGTGTTGGATGCATCCACTTCCACAATGAAAGGTAGGTCTGGGTTGGGATGACGGAGAATAGGAGCTGTGGTGAATTGAGTCTTCAGATCGCTAAATGCTTGGCGTGCTTCAGAGGACCAGGATAGTTTGTGGGAATTTCGTTTGGTCATGGCTGTTAATGGTGCGGCTATTGAACTAAAGCCTCTGATAAACCGTCTATAGAAGTTGGCAAAACCTAGAAATCGCTGCAACTCCTTGAGATTCTGGGGTAACGGCCATCGTTGAACTGCCTGTACCTTCGTATCATCCATGGTAATCCCTTCTGCACTGATGACGTATCCCAAAAAGGCGACCTGTGTCTGGTGAAATTCACACTTCTCTAATTTGGCGTACAGACGATGTTGAATCATGCGTTGCAACACTATACGTACATGTTCAACATGTTCCTTCATCGTGTTTGAATATATGAGGATGTCGTCGATGTAAATGATGACCCAGCGATCCAGCATATCCCGAAAGACATCGTTCATAAAAGATTGGAACACGGATGGACAGTTTGACAGACCGAAGGGCATTACCGTGTACTCATAGTGCCCCCTAGTGGTGGAAAACGCGGTCTTCCACTCGTCACCAGCACGGATTCTGACAAGGTTATATGCACTGCGAAGATCAAGCTTGGTATAATATCTAGCCTTTCTTAATTGTTCCAGGGCAGGAGGTACGAGGGGTAATGGATAGCGGAATTTTACGGTGATTTCATTGAGCCCTCGGTAATCAATACAGGGACATAAACTGCCATCTTTCTTCTTTACAAAGAAGAATCCAGCTGAAGCAGGAGATGTAGAAGGTCGGATGAAACCCTTGGCCAATTCCTCGTCGATATATTCAGACATTGCCTTGTGCTCAGGTTGTGACAGGGGGAATATTCGACCCGTTGGAGGACTTGAACCTGGAATTAACTCAATAGCACAATCACTTGGTCGATGTGGGGGAAGTTGAGTAGCTTTTTGTTTGCTAAAAGCTTCATGTAAGTCATGGTACTCAATGGGGATTAGTTCATCAACGAGTTCAGGTAACACATTGGTGGTTCGTAATGGAATTTTGTGAATGGGCTGGA